TGTAGCCCAGGCTGGCCTTGAACTCATGGCAGTCCTCCTGCCTCAGCCTCTCAAGTGCTGAGAGTATTTAATTTTCTTTATGATTTCTTTTTTGACACACCCACATATTGAAGTTCTGTATGAAAGTGTATTGTTTTCTTTTCAAATGTTTGAGGCTCTTCTACATGTTCCTGCTTTCTAACTTAATTCTACTGTGGTCAGAAAATATGCTTGGTAAAATTCAAACTTTTGAAACTAGGTCTTTTGTGAGGTCTGGTGTGTGATTTATCTTAGGTAGTTTTCCATGTGCCACGTCTGTGTCCTACATAGTGGCTGGTCAGGTAGTTTACGATATTCCTTTGGATCCTCTTTCCTCTGATTGCTCTAGTAATTTCTGTGAAAGACATATTAAATTCTGGCTCTGATTGTCGCATTATTTCTAACTTTAGTTACTATTTATTTTTAATAAACATGTTTTACAGTGACTCTGTAAACCTTTATTTCTCTTTCATCTTCTTTGTGTCATATAATCTTAAAATTTTGTAATTATTTGGGGAAAAGTTAAGTAATACAGTGAGTAAATATAGTCCAAATTTTAGACTTGTTTTAGAGGTTTTTATTTTATTTTTTTTGTTTTGGCTAGGGATTGATCCTAGTGCTCGACCACTGAGCTACACTCGCAGCCCCTGACAGAACGTTTAACCACATATAAATGGTAAAATGATAATAATATACTTTCTGTTTAGACCTTTAGAATCAGGGTGGTGTACTGTGCTATGAACCTGCTGAACTTCAGCATCTTTTTTCTTTTTTTAGCACAGTCCCATAAATACACAGTCCCATGTATTTGGAACTAAAACTTGGAAAATTTCAAGATAGAAATAAGGTTGTCATACTGTGTTAATAGTCAATTTTGGGTGACTTGTATGTCTTTAAACAACCTTTTAACATGTTGTTGAGTTTATACAGTGTATAAGTGTATGCTGATTGGAAATAGTGTGCAGTCTAGAAATATTGTTACTTTGCATCTGGTTTTGACATTAAAATGGTTAATTTTTAATGTATGTTTCTTTACTGAGTAATATGCATAGTTTAATTTTTTGTGAAAACAAAAAGTCTGTATTTTAACTTTCTTGAAGCTGTATCTTCCTCATTCTTATAGCTTATTCGTTCAGTTACATAAAACAAATATCAAAGGACAAGTGATAAAAGAAATCACAGATAATCTGCTATACTTTAGAAAAAAAACAGATCATTTGCCTTTCCTCTATTTTTGAAATACATTTTATTTTCTTGTTTTTTCGTAGCTTAACCTTACATGTTTTAATGTATAAGACCTACCAAGTACATAACATATTGCATGTTTTCAAGGAAGGAGCAGAGTTCTTTTTATGGTTGGAAACTAACATACTGAATCAGTTATTTTGGATTCATGTAATATCTCTTCTGGCTGTTGTAGCCCCTCATCCTGCAATATTGTTTTATTTGAGGATCTGTTATCATGGAAAAGACTGGATTAAGTTAGGAGGCTTAGATGGTTTTGGCTTTATAACTAACTTATTGGACTTGAAAAACATCATTTGTACCTGTTAAGTGATTTGATCAGATGTTCTAAGGCATTTTTCTGTTGTGATTTTTATGAAATTAAAGTAATTTTATTTCTGAATCATACAAACATGTTTCAAAACCCGTAATTATTTATGGTCACCTTTGAATGGTAAATGACGCATTTAAAAATGATTTCTTAACTACCTAGAGTATCCAGCACAAAATTGGATCTACAGAAAAAATCTGAAACCCTTGAAACTACTAAGCAAATGCTTACCAGACAAGAGAAAGAAAATGCTGTCCTGAAACAAGAAATTGCAAAGTTAAGTCAAGATGCAAAGATGCAGCAAGAGGAATTGAATAATAGAATTCAAACAGCAGAAACAGAACTAAAGGAAGTAAAAATGGAAAAAGAAACGCTAAAGACAGAACTTTCTACAGCAAAAGACAAGCTATCAAAAGTATCTGATTCTTTGAAAAACTCCAGAAGTGAATTTGAAAAGGAGAACCAGAAAGGAAAAGCTGCTATATTAGATTTGGTTAGTTGTTTACATTCACATTCTTTTAAAAATTAAAAAAGTTTAGTGCGGTCCATAATGGTTGTGTTCACTGTGGGGAGTTGATCATGTGCACAGTAGCAGGACCGGGGGTGTGGCTCAGTGGTAGAGCTCTTGCCCTGCATGTGCATGACACATGTTCATGCTTTTCGCTTCCCCTTTTGCTCCCTCCCTGCCCTCTCTCCATTTACTTTCTTAGCAGCAATTATTTTCTTTAAGGTAAACTGAGTTTTTTGGCTTAATTCACTGTTCACATCCTACATTAAAATATTTTAGAAGTTTTCTGAGGAAAGGACGGGGCTTGTTGAATCTGTGAAAAAGATAACACAAGATACTGTTTTGGAGACGTGTGCATGTGTGTGCATGCATATTTTCTGGAGGCCCAGGATATCTTCAGTTGAATATAATAGTCCTCCTCTATTGCTGGTCTGAGGTTAGATTTGGGTGAGACTGCAGCATATTTGTTTTGGGGAACATTTTCACAATGTGTAACTACTAGTGAGTTATTATTTACATGTTCCAAAGAAAATCTTAATTTTAATGGTGGTACTATAAGCTTTTGAATATTCCATGTTTAGAGATACCATAAAACATATTTTAAATGCAGGGAGAAAAAGTTGAGAGTCTCAGGAAATGCCTAAAGAGGAATGAATTTTTAGAAATGCTTTAATGCAAAATAACACAAAAGTAAAGCAAAAATAAAACTCCTCTCTTTATGGAGGTCAGTGAAATTGTTTAGTAGGGTAAAACATACATGAAATTAGTATGTGTTCCTTCATGTTTGGAGAAAACATTTCCAATCTGTGCACCTTCTCTCTCCAGTTATGTTTGATTATTTTTTTAATTTAGTGCTTTAACATTTTCTTTTTTTCAAATTTTCTTTTGTTTTGAGACAGTCTCTCTATGTATAGTTCACCCTGGCCTTGAACTCACTACGGAGCCCACGGTGGTCTTGATCTCGTGGCAATCCTCTTGCCTCAACTTCCCAAATGCTAGGATTACAGGCATGCACTACCATACCCAGCCCTTGTTTTTTTTTTTTTTTTTGCTTTGTTTGTTTTTTGTTTTCACGATAGGGTCTCACTGTGTAGTTCAGGCTGGCCTTAAACTCACTGTGTAGCAAGGCTGGCCTCAAACTTGTGACCCTTCTGCCTGAGCCTCTGGAGTGCTGGGATTACAGGTGTGTGTCACCATACCTGGGTTTTTTCATTTTCTTATAGCTCATGGTTCTATTTTTTGACAGGTTTATTAATTATAAATAATTATGTGACCTAAAATATGATTTCCAAAGTGTTCTAAAGTATTTATGAAATATTTTTATCACTATTGGGGATAGAACGTGGGGCTTCGCACATGCTGGGCAAGCACTCTACTACTATTTCCAGCGCTATTCTATGATAACTATTGGTTGATTAAAGAAACCATTAGCAAATGTAGCATAGTCCTGTATTTGCCTTTATTTATTTATTTATTGGTTTTTTGAGAAGTCTTACTGTGTAGTTCAGGCTGGCCATGTGCTCGCTGTGTAGCCCAGGTTGACCTCCACCTTGTGGCGATCCTCCTGCCTTAGGCTCCTGGGTGATGGGATTATAGGTACTTGCCACGTACCCGGCTTTTACTATGAAATGGGTAATCCTATTCCATTTTGATTCATCAATGACTTTAATGTATTTGTGTGTATCTTACTAAGCTTATGAAACAAACTTTTAAGGTTATTACAAATATTTTCTGTATAATATGGTTTCTCTTTTTTTTGAAGGAAAAACAATCTTTTGAGGTTATTACAAATATTTTCTATATAAAACAGTTTCTCTTTTTTTTTAAGGAAAAAACTTGCAAAGAATTAAAGCATCAACTTCAAATACAGACAGAAACCACACAGAAGGAACAGAACGAAATGAAGAAGTCACTTGAGAAAGAGAAGGAGGTAAGATTTTATCTTTTCTGTAATATAAATGCATAAAGTATAACAGGCCTTTATATTTCAAAACATTTTATCCTGATAGGTCAAAGAAAGATATAGTTCTCTGAAATGGAATGGAATGAAAAAAATCTATAATACATATGTATATATAATATATATTTATTTATTTGTATCTTACCCCTAAAATAATTTAACCTCATTTTAAATAAAAATTACAAATAAATAAATATAATTAATAACTACAGAAAACTGAGTCCATAGTACTATAATTAGATAGTCTAGGTTAAAGAACATAGTTATGATGGAAAAAAACTTCAATAGACTTTCCATAGAAATGACCTTTATATTAATGATGTATTTGATAATTACATAGATATTTCTGTTGCACATAGATATGATAGATGTTTCTGTTGCTCTCCAGCTAAAATACATAAGCAAATGAGAAAATGCTTGCGTATAATACATAGTTATTACTGTTTGAGGATGTACTTGTTAGCAGCTGCAGTCTGGGCATAACGCTTTCTAGAAATTGGAGTTGATACAGTCCTGACGCATGTTCGATGTCACTGTGTTCTGACTGCTCACTGCAACAGGACATCTGGACTGTACATGCCAGCCGTGTAAGTGGCCACATTATAGTGGCTTAGTGCCTGGACTCTGAGCCAAAATGATATAATATGGTCATGCTTATTGTTATACTTCTTGTTTTGCACAAAAATATTCGGCTGTGCATTGCAGTAAGCTGGGGCATCTGCATATAGCACCAAAAAGGTTTTGAAAAGTAGTCTAGTGTGGTCAGATGCTCCAGTGTAATTCTGGATTATTAATAAAATATACATAAATCATGAATATATGACTTGACTGGAAAGGCAGAAAATAATAGTTTTCCTTGGCCACAGAAAAGCCTTCGTGTGACTTCTGTATGAATGGAAGCATCCTAGTAGAGTGTAAAAACAACGTCGCAAAATATGTCTCAGTGAGAGTAACTGTTACGTAGTGTAATTTAGTGCCATAGACTTATACCAGAATGTTTGCTAAAAGAAATTTTATTTGTATCATACTTGAAGTAGAGCTGTTCTTTCTGATTAGCTGTGACCAAAGGCTCAGTAGCACTTGGGAATATTCTAGAAAGTGAACAGAATGTCCAGCAATATGAACTTAGATGCTGACATTCCTATTCTGTGTGATACGCAGGCTTACCGATCCAGTTCACTTACCACTCTCTCTAAATACATAACTATAAGCTAAAAAGGAAGATAGGATTAAACAAATAATGTAGGTTAATTTGCATGTCATGTAATAGGGAATGGTGCCAGTTGTGAAAGCAATGTAAATTCTGATGTATTTCTCTCTTGTTAGTTACTGATCATTTGTGACCAGCAGACCCAATAGTGTCTACCATGAGTAGTGGCTGGCATGTAGTAGGTACTCAGTAAATTTGTTTTGCATGAATAAAGGAATGCCAGAATTTTTTTTTAGGCTTCTCATCAGTTGGCTTTGGAACTCAGTTCAATTAAGGAACAAGTTACACAGGCCCAACATACTTTAAAACAAAAAGAAAAAGAACAGCAACAACTTCAAGGGAACATAAAAGAGCAAAAGCAATTGACTGAACAGAGGAAAAAGCAAATAGAAGCACTCCAAGGAGAAGTTAAGACTGCCCTTTCACAGAAGGTATTGATAACAAATGTATTTACCGTTCAGAGGAAGAAAATGTTGGCAATTAATATAATATGATTGAAACAGATGAGTTGTATCAAGAATGTTTATATGTGTTCAAAAATTTTCTAACTTACATTTGATCGAGTGATTAAATATGCCTGAATTTCCATTCACCGTGATGTCAGGGAATTCTTAAATTTCTAGTTCTGATTGTTTATCTAATAAATATGAAAGTACATTTTTGTAAAATAACATATAAGTAAACTTCATGTTAAGGCAGTTGTTCAAGCAACATTTCTAGTGTACTAGAAAAATTTTAAAGGAATTCAAAACAAATGATTTTCATTAAGGGAAAAAAATCAAGAACAAACATCACAAAGTAGGGTATATTGAAAAAATTTAATAGTGTCAGGTTCCTTTTCTTTTCGATTTTTTTTTTTTTTTTTTTAAACCAGGGTCTTTCTAAGTAGTTTGGGCTGGCCTTGAACTGACTCTGTAACCCAGGCTGGCCTCAAACCTATAGCAGTCCTCCTGCTTTAGCATCCTGAGTGCTAGGTTTATAAGCATGCTAGCTAGTAGTGTCAGATTTCTTATACTATATCTGATATTTTTAGCTACATAAGAATGGTTTCTATTTCTAATATTAAGTACAAAATTTATTATTAAGCATAAGTTACTCATTCCTAAATACAGTTTTTGTTTGTTTGTTTGTTTTCTGGTTCCGGGAATCGAACTCACGACCTTGCGCTTGCCAGGCAGGCGCTGTGCCGCTGAGCTAAATCCCCAGCCCCTTCCTAAATATGTTTTAATACTTGTATAGAACAGCAGTTGGTAAAAATTGATTGTATTTAATGTGTAATATTTAATATGAAGTATTTAGCAAATTCAGCATGTGCATATTATTTGGTCTGTGGAGAAGAATCTTTAGTGGTAGAGTATATTAACCATGTCATGCCATTATGTATCAGTTGTCATACTACTAGAGTAAAAGGAATCCAAATTAGAAAACCATCAGCATACATTGAATATTGAACAGTGTTTTATAACTATTATTCTGTATTACACAGGAGTAGTTTCCTAATAACATAAGCAAGAGTTGACTACTTTGTCCTGTGTGTTAGATATAATCAAAAATCAGAATGTAATTGTCACAACACATTATGTTGCACACTTTGATATCTTCACATACAAATATTCCTGAGATCTTCATTTTCATAGCATTATAACTTAACTAATTAAAGAATATAACTATTGCACTTTTCCTTGGTATTATATTGGTCATTAAAATTAAGATTTCATTCAGGTTTATTAGATGATACCCAAAGAACTGAAATTTAGAGACAGTGTTCTTATTGGTAGTTCATTTTTATGCGTATATGGGTACCAAAATCAGGAATATATTTCTGGACATTGAGAAGGACAGTGATTGGGAGTGTTGGGTACGTAGCCCATATTTGCTGAGATTACAGGTGTGCACCACCTTAGGGTATGACTTTCCAATCTCAAGTAGCTTATAATTTAATGAGGAAGTAAGTATGTGAAGAAGATGAAACCTGGAGGTGTGAAGATGCAGCCTTTCTAGAGAGCTCTGTGGCACTCACTGAGGTCAGCTGGAGAGCCCTGAGTAGAGGTGACCGAGATGTTACCTACCAGACTAAACTCGGAATGGGAGAGTGGGCAGGTGAAATAGAGAAAATGGAAAAGCTAGAATAAGAGGACAAGTCCCATGTAAGCTCAAGTGCTCGCCCAGTTTAGGTCCACAGACACTGTTGTTTGCAGTGTGACAGCCATGCTGCCTGCTTATGAGAACATGACCAGAATCTGTGACAGTATTAGCAGACATCCTACCAGATCGCTGGTGAGGATCCCAGCCCAGCTCCTAAAGATGTAGCCACGCTGTGCAAAGCACAAAATAGGAAAGGCACTTACTTCAGAGGCCATCATTCCCCTTCCCTGGTGGAACTATGCCCTCCCTGCTTGGACATGACCCAGAATCTATGATAATAATAGCAAAAGAATCCTGGCCCAGGAGGGCAGAGCCCAGCCCAGGCCCAGAGTCCTAACCATTTGCAGTATGCTAGGAACTTCCAGGGGAGGAGGCTGGGGATGACCACAACCAAGCACTTCCCCAGTCAGCCTTACTCACTTTGTAGCAAACTAAGGGTAGGTGGGGATGGAATAGGCTTCATAACTAAGCAGATTTCCTCTCTAACCTGAAGCTTCCAGAATTACAGAGGGCCGAGCAAGCTGGGAGAAGGAACCAGGAGCTCCAGAGATGGGGAAAAGCCTGAAAGTTAGCAGTGGAATTTAGCAGTTTTCAGAATCTTCTTAGTTGTGGAAATTTCATTTTGTATTTGTAACTGGATTTTTATGTGCACGCCATTTTAAATAAGTTCTGTATGTTTCAGGCAGAGCTTGAGAATAAACTACAGCAACAGTCAGCGCAGGCAGCCCAGGAGCTCGCGGCAGAGAAGGAGAAGGTATCAGGGTTGCAGAATACCTATGAAAAGTGCCAGGAAAATCTAAAACAGCTTCAGTCTGACTTCTATGGGAAGGAGTCTGAACTTCTAGCCACAAGGCAAGATCTTAAGGTAAAGTAAGCTGTGGTAAATCATAGGAACTCAGCAAGTTGCTTGTAGACATTCCTTAAATGATTTATTTGTGTCCTTTATGGACAAGGGAATGTTACTTTTGTGAAATATAATACTTTCTAGTACTAAATTGTTACTTTTGGATTAACATGTTTTTTAAAGGAATTATTTTTTATTATAAGGAAATACTGATGTACATAAATGTGGGCATTTTAAAATGTCATGTCTGTAATTTGGTGCATATGTTAATTGTTACACCATTCATTTATCAAAGGATTATGATGTCTTCATTTGAAAATAACCTCAAAAGTGGGCTGCTGTTAGAACTAAAGAGTTTTAAATGTAAACCACTTGTAAAAAATGTGAACAGTTTTGTTGTTGCTTGTCAAACAATACTGACTTCGTTTTCTAAATTTGTCCAGTTCCCAAGATTCCTGGAATACCTGCTGATTAAAATTAGGAGATTATAGCTCAAATTGAGTTAACTTTAATTGTCTAACAATGTATAGAAATTTTGCCCTAGGTAGTACTGTTTATTAGATAAAGCATCATATTAAATGATGGGTGTGGAAATATAAATTTTTTATATAACATTAAGATATCGATTCATTAAGGAAATGGAATGTTGGTGTTTTCTCACAAAAGATCCAGCCGGTGCCCCCTACCCTAGCCATCTTGGGGAGGTGAAATGTGCTTTTGGTTTCTTGCCTGTGTTCAAGATTTTTATTTACTTTAGGGTACATTATTGGAAAATTCTACTGAGAATCGCAGAATAGTAAAATGGTTTATAAACATAATGTATGTATTTTATTCATGGGCTCTTGTAGGGAAGGTGCCATAACGGAGGTAGCATTGGCTGGGTCCTGAAGTGTGTGTACGGTTGGATGTGCAGAGGGTACTGAGAAAGATCATTTTGCTCGGGGCATGCTGGAGAAAAGTCGCCTCTGTGGGAGTGGGCGGAGGAGGGCACAGTGAGGGACTGACTTGCTGGAGTGCTGGTCCTGTGTGGAATTTAGGCTAAAAGGTGAAGTCTAAGTTGTGAAGCATTTCAGTTGTCTGGCAAAGGCAGCTGGGTTTTATATTTGAGGAAAAAGAGTCTAGGCCGAGAGGTAAAGGGAAAACACTCTTAGGACACTTAACCTGGAGTAATTTAAAGAAGCTTGGATTGACTAGAAGAGGAGATTAGGTAAGACATATTCTCTCTTCATAAATTGAGTAATCAGAATCTAATCTGTTTGGTTAGAACTAGAACTGAAGTTACAGAAGACAGAGTAGAAGAGATTAATAGGGACAGAGGTTAAATGAAAAGGCTGAATAATAGTAATCTGCAAGGAAAGTGAGGGAGTTGGTGATGATTTGACAAAGTGTGACATTGTGTAAAACAGTTTCATGGTGTCAGTTATCTACACTTAAACATATTGTACGTAGATAAAAAAGATGAAAATTAGCAAGCAAAAATAGAAAACCATATTTATAAGAAATAAAAAATACCACTTGACATTTAGGTGGTGTTACATTGCTGTTACATTCTTCGCAGCACTTGTGCAGCGTTGCAGGCTTGTGGAGGAGTGTGGGCTTACCCTACAGGCAGCGGGGAACTGTGGGAGGAGCTCTGTGGATTTGTGTCTCAGGTGGATGGCTGGCTGCAGAGTAAGGAATGTGTGGGGAGGGGCAGGATGTAGAGGACACTTGATGTAGTTCACGTGCAAAATGATGCTGCTCCGGGCTGGTACTAACAGGATGGCGAGAGTTGGGCGAATTTGAGGATGTTTGTGTGATAGAAGAGATGAAATTTAATGATTGATGGTAAAAATCCTCTAGAAATCACTCTTCATACTGATACATCATTTACCCGGAGTATAACCTAGGAACAGGACTTACAGTTCCTAAGTGAACTTTCATTAAGTCAACAATAATTTGTAACCTGTAAGCCGCATTGTGCATCCATAATTTCATACATGAAAGAGTAATTCGAATGACAAGAAGAGAAAGCAGAGGAACAGGTCGCCGTAGCATTGTACAACCTAGAGGGCTTGGGTAAGCTGTTTTGACAGCTGTCTTTCACAGGCGAGGGTAGGCCCAGTGCTACTTCATAACGGAACCATAGTTAGATCTTAGTTCTTATTCAAAGCCCTCTCTATTTTCTTTGACCACCACTAGCCTTTTTTTGACAAAGTAAACTTTTTTATAAATTCTATATTAATGCTCCTAAAATGAGAAGTCTATGAACTACTTACAAATTTTTTTTTAAAAGTTTAAATCCTACAGAAGTTTATAAATAGCATTTATAGACCAAAAGAAAAGATAGTCATCAACCATTATTTTTCCTTAGCTGCAGTGTTGTTATGTGTTGCTTATAAAAGACAAGCAGGGATTCAGGAACTCCTCTAAGCTGGCGCCTGCTCAAGTCAAGCCTGCCTGCTGTGGGTGGACATTGAGCCTACACTTGGATGCCAGTGGATGGAAGCAGCCTGTCCTGATCTGTGCTGTTAGCCCCATCTGCTGGAGCATTTATGAAATACTTTATTGACTGGATATTTCACTTTGGCTATGCTGGATGCTAATCTTTGTTGTTAAGAGGAGGTACAAGTCGGATTTTACACTCCCAAGTGAAGTGAAAATTGTAGGGTAATAAGTTGGAAGTAAATAGAAATCTCTGTAGTCTGATACCACATCTTATGCCATCTTTTCAGACTTCAAGAAAAAGTAATAACTAAAATTCTAAACGTTTTATTTTGAAAGAAGAATGAGAAAGCTTGCTGAAAAAACAAAAAGTAAAGGCTAACACAAAACACGCAACACTTCTCTTTTGCTGGAGGACTGTAATGTGTTGGTGGAATCAGTGTCAAAGTTGGTAATTGATCCACTCAGGGATACATGCCTATTGCAGTGGTCATGGATGCATTAACGATAATTCTAGTAAAACCATGGACTAGAAGAAGGAGGTTATCCAAGGGAAGACATGCTGAATTGAACAAAGTTAACATCTACAGCAAGAAAGATAAAACAGCAATCTACAATGAGAAAGATAAAAAGAACACGTAAAATGCACGGCAGTATTCCATGGAGCAGCATAGGTGGATGCTCAGACCATCTTACACTGCCCCGTTATGTGTTAGCAGTGTGTACAGTAAACAGATAGCCGTCTGGTTAATAAAGAACTAGATGACTGGGTCTTATCTGAAAAAAAGTAAGCCTTAAGGAGTTTACTGTTCTACTGACAAGCATTAAAAAAATTTAATGTATATTAGAAATAATTCTAAATTGAGTTAATGGTTAGGGGTAAGCTTATTTATTAATGCTTTTAACATGACAAGGTGTATCATAGCGCCTACTATATATATATATATATATGCATCTGTACATACATGTATACTGTTACCTATTTTAGAATTGCTTCCTTTCATGTCTCCTGCTCTTTTCTCGAACCATACCTGTTTTCTGAGTGTGTTTTCCGTGGTTTCTATTACTACGTGATATTCTTAACACCTAGCTAGTGTTGAAGGTGTGACAAGCATTCAGTAAATAGGTTTAGATTTCCTGTAGAAGTTTTAGAATTATTTTAATATTGCTAAATATTTGATATCATTAATATTTTTCATAGGTGCGGGAGTTGATATTCCGGGTGTTTGCTGCATGAGCTCAGTGAGGTGTGACTTACTGTCTTTATATAGTACAGTTATTGGCCTCATAATGACGGTTCAGTTAGTGGCAGGCTGCACAGACAGTGGAGGTCTGCAAGGTTATCATGGAAGTGAGCTATTCCTGTTACCTAGAGTTCTGCTGAACTGTTCTTATGTTTAGGTATGTTGGACACAAACACTTAACCACTGGCTTACAGCTCCCTGTAGCATTCAGTGCAGCAGCACGCTGATAGGTTTGCGGCAGGTGTGGAGTAGGGCGGATCCTCTAGGTTTGGGTAAGTGCACTTTGTGATGGTCATGTGACGGAATCGGCAGACAGGGATGTCCAGGACTTGCCCTCATTGTCAAATGTACAGTACTGTGTCTTATTTTCCATGATCTGTATATTAGCTTTTTTTTGTTAAAGTTTGCTTGAAATGACATAATAATTAAGGAATTTTTTTTTTTTTTATAAGTCTGTAGAAGAGAAGCTTTCTCTAGCACAGGAGGACTTGATTTCAAACAGAAATCAAATTGGAAACCAAAATAAATTGATTCAAGAACTAAAGACTGCCAAAACTACCTTGGAGCAGGATTTGGCGAAGAAAGATCAGCAGTTGAAGGAACAGAGTAAAACACTTCAAGATATGCAGAAAGAGAAGGTATTTGCTTTTCTGACTTCACTTCTGAGTGTTAGAGGACCAGAGACCATCAGGGCGAGGCCCTTAGCCAGTACATGCATCGCCTTTATTCTCAAGAGCTTTAAAATTAATGTTTAATGAGTCATTATTTTTCTACAGTCAATGAAAGAAAAAGAACTAGTAAATGAAAAATCTAAATTGGCAGAGATAGAGGAAATTAAGTGTAGACAAGAAAAAGAAATCACCAAATTAACTGAAGAACTGAAGTCCCACAAACAAGAAAGTATGAAGGTATGTTAAGTCATTTTCCTCTCTTTTATGTTGTATTATTGGTCTGTAAACATACATTTTGTAGGGATTGATAGGGAACCTGCTCTACGCTAGGCCAGTTGTTTTTAACAAATTCTTGCCAGAATGCTATTTTACTCATCTATACACACATTGAAGTAATGCTACTTTTGTTTTCAGATTACTAAATTAAGCAGAGTTTAGATTTCATTGAAATGGTAGTAAAAATTGATATTCTTTAGAAAATTATGCTTGTAGATATGTAAGAATTTAAGATTTTTAAGGAATTCTGCTTTTTTCAATACTTTTCTAAAATTCTCTAGTATCTTTTTACCTTGTATCATCAGTTGAAGACTGTTTATTATTTGCTTTATAAAGTATTATTCATTTTCTTGAAAAAAGCTAGATTCCTGAGTGCTGTCATGATGCCTTTTATATCTAGTATCATGCCTAAAATTTTGCATAGTAACTTATTATATCCTCTTCGTCTGTTCCTCTGGGATGTGACTTCCTGAGAATAAGGAATGTATGTAATTCCCTGTGTCCTCAGAACATAACATGGTGTGTGATACCAAAATGATGCCCATTAAATGCTTGTTAAGTGAGAAGTGAAAAAGTAGGGAGTGGGGATTTTTTCCCATGTACTGGTAGAATCAGAACATGTGCATCCCAAATACTACTGATCTAAATGGGAACTGAGCAGGAAATAAATAATCTCCTACCTTTTAAACCAGCTGTTTACTGAATTTGAAGAATCTCACGAGGGGTAAACACATTGCTGTGGTAAATTGCATAAACTTCAGCTACCTTTTGGAATATTTACTATTAAGGTTGATTTATATCTTGGCCTTTTCAACAGGAGATAACAAATCTCAAGGATTCTAAACAGCTTTTGATTCAACAGAAGTTAGAACTTCAAGGAAAAGTAGATTCCCTGAAGGCAGCCCTTGAGCAGGAGAAGAGAAACCAGCAGATGCTGAAGGAGCAGCTGAAAAAGGAAGAAGATGAACTAAAGAAAGAATTTAGTGAGAAAGAAGCGAAACTGGTCAGTGAGTTAGTGATGGGGAAGGTGATTTGTAACAGAGGTTTAAATCAGTCCAGTGAAAGCTCTTTTCCACTTAGAAGGTACAATCGAAATGCTTTCTTTTTTTTTTTTTTTTTTTTTT